TTCTTTTAATTTTTTAAAAATTGATTTTAGAGAGAGAGGAAAGGAGAGGGAGAGAGAGAGAGAGAAACATCGATGAGAGAGAACATCTATTGGCTGCCTCCTGCATGCCCCACACTGGGGATTTGGTCCACAACCTGGGCATGTGTCCTGACCAGGAATCGAACCGACGACCTCTTGGTGCACAGGTAGACACTCAACCACTGAGCCACACCAGCCGGGCAAGGCAAAAATCTTAAGTGATAATGTATCTCTTTGCCACTCCATCCCACATGCACTTCGATCACACCCAGGTGGCTAACATAAAAAGAAATCTTTGTACTTAGAGCTTGCTGAGGAGATATCAAAATTGAATGCTGGGTTTCCCTCAAACAGATAAATGGTAGCCAGCACTGATAAACGACTCAGAACTTGGGCTCACCTATTAGTAGCTGACAAGAGAGGAACCAGTCAACAACCGGACTTGTTTTAACTAACCACATACAGACCTCTGGATCTTCCCACCCTTCCTAGCTACAAACTGTCTGTCTTACTGTTGCACGGTGAATACAGCAGTACCCCTACCCCTTCTTTCCCAAGCCCTCCTAGAAGGTGCCATATCCCCCACCCAGCTTTTTTGTCTGGGGAACAGCTCAGTGACTGTTCCCTGGCAAGTGCATGCACTCAGCATTCACACTGGTCACTCCGGTGGTCATCGTCTGTCCTTCGACGTATGGGATACCCGTTGGTCATGGCTAAAACTGAAGGAGACTTGAAGTTGCAGTTTCGGAGTTTATAGAAGAATATGGAAACCCTCTACCCACCCTAACCCTCCCCCACCCTGAATATTGTATCAAGACCTTCCCCTGGGACCTCCCCTAAAATCTCCACCCTTAAAACCCTTAGGACAGCCCAGCTGGTGTGGCTCAGTGGTTGAGCATCGACCCATGCACCAAGAGGTTACAGGTTCGATTCCCGGTCAGGGCACATGCCCAGGTTGTGGGCCCAATCCACAGTGGGGAGCATACAGGAGGCGGCCAATCGATGTTCTCTCTCATCGATGTTTCTACCTCTCCCTCTCCCTTCCTCTCTCTCTAAAATCAATAAATAAAAATAAATAAAAAAAACCCTACAACCTTTAGGACAGACTTTCCCTCCCGCATCCCCTCCCCCTCCTCCCAGATGCAACACCTGTACCTTCCTTGACCTCTATAACTTGTTTCCTAAACCTATTTGTCCTACAAATTACTTCTTCCAACTCTGTGATTTTACAAATACCTGTTCTCTTATCGCTTAAGTCGTGGCTCTGAATTTTCTTCTAGCCGGAACTTAAGTACCCAGCTTGCTAAGCCCAGGTCGGGTCTGACCCCACTGGTCTAACACCTGGTGCCTGCAGCCCGCAACACAGGTGGGTGTGAAATGTGATCTCACGGTAGTTTTGATTTCCTGCAGTTGTTTTTAAGTAGCCCTGTTGATGATTCTATTGCATCTGAAGTTTGAGGAAGTTGCCCAGGGACAGTAGCATTTACAGAGGAACTAGTTCTAGAAATGCAGGATCTTAGTCCCCTCCACCAACACCCCCACCCCCACCCCAGCCAATGACCAGGGAGTCAAAATCTGCATTTTAACAAAGATCCCCACGTGATCACCACACACAGTAGTATTTGAGAAGCCCTGGTGTGAGAGACAGGGAACTCTAAATTGCCAACACCTCCTAATCATAATTTAAGCACACTGGAATTAGGGCCTGTGTTTTTTGCCCTGTTTGTCTGGTGTCTCCTTGTTTGATCGTCTGGAAAAGTGAGAGGAACGCAGAATTTAGAGTAAAACAGACTGGCCAGCATTTACCAGCTGGATAATCCTAGACTAGAGCATGCTTGATATAGAGAAGGAATTCATGCCTGCACCCTGCAGACCTTGGGATTCAGTGATGGCTAAATAACTTGCCAGATGATTGATTTCCTTAAGGCAGCCAGCTCAGCAAGAACAAATCCAGGAATGACCCCACAACTGACTTCCCCACACTAAGTAAGACCAGGCTCCAAGCTGCAACCATGAACTCTGCCAGAAACCTCTAATGTAGAGACTTGTAACAGTCTCCAAGGCCGCTTATTTTGGTGTAAAGTAATTTTTATACATTTTAAACAGTAACTGTGCTAAGCCCTCAGAACCCACACTGCATTTATGTCTACAGACGAGATCAGAGGTTCTCAACTGGGGGTGATTTTTTGTGACCCCCCCTACAAGTGACTATGTCTGAAGATTTGTCAGCCCTGAGGGTGGGTGCTACTTACACAGATGCTACTAAATATCCTACAATGCATCAGATAGCCACCACCACCCCCAAACAAAGCCTCCCCCAAATATCAGTAATGCTGAGGCTGCGGAACACTGCCCTAGACTCGGGCGCTGGGTCACCATATCATGAAGGGACACGCAGGCAAGTGAGGTGACCTCCCCAGATCACCCAGCTAGTAACAGAAGAGCAGGACTCAATTCACAACGGGCTCGAAAGCCCTGAGTCGTTCTGTAAGGGCTGTTTTCAAACATTCTTGTTCAAGTTGAGCTGGCAACTGTACATACATACACAGGTTTCACTCTGCGATTTCTAAAGAGGCGAACTGGCCAGACAAAGCTTGTAGACCTCTCAGAACATGAAACATTTTCAAGTTCCCTTTGTACGATCGATCTAACAATTACCTCCGCTTTCCTCTCTTCCTTGGTTAGATTTTTATCTAATCGCTTTGCCAGGGTTTGGGTTAAAGAGCTACTATGCTTCTGGGCTAAGGGTGATAAACATGATTACAGGAGATAACATTCTAGCAGAGAAGGTATGGTCAAATCTAAAAGTAGTAAGGTGGCCCGGCCAGTGTGGCTCAGTGGACTGGGCGTCATCCCGTGGACGGAGAGGTCCAGGTTCTATTCCAGGTCAGGGCACATGCCCAGGCTGTGGGCTCGATCCCCAGTATGGGGCGTGCAGGAGGCAGCCGGTCGATGTCCCTCTCTCACATGGGTGTTTCTATCTCTCTCTCCCTTTCCTCTCTCTAAAAAATCAATAAAGCCGTGGCCAGTTTGGCTCAGCGGTTAGAGCGTCGGCCTGCGGTCCGGAGAGACCGGGGTTCGGTTCCCGCTAAGGGCACGTACTTCGGTTGCAGTTTGTCCCCGGCCCTGGTTGGTCGTGCGGGTGGCAGCCACTCGATGTGTCCTTTCACGTCGATGTTTCTCTCTCTCTCTCCCTTCCTCTCTCTCCCTCCCACTCTATCTGTACAAAAAATGGAAAAATATCCTCGGGTGAGGATAAAAAAAAATAAAAAAAATTAAAAATCAATAAAAATATATTGAAAAATAAATAAATAAAGTAGTAGCCTGGCAGAGGCTCGTGTGTGACAGGGAGCAGCGGGATTCACTGCCACAGTCAGAGGTGGCGATGCCAGCAGCTGGCAGGACAAAAAGCCACAGATACACACACAGGCCAGCCTCTTCCCCAGTGTCACAGTGGGTGGCTTTGGGGTCTCTCACTACATGCCAGGTATGACGAATGCTTAAACACACGTCACTTCATCTCATCGCACCACAACCCTAAGAAGAAGCAACGACCAGCTCCAAGGGAAAATGGGGATGTGGAAGCTCTGTCCCGGGTCACTCCGGATCACAACCCGGACAGTTTATCCCCACTCTGCTTGGCTGACTTCCTCTCCTTTTTGACAGGCGATTCCAACCGCATAGCTACACGATACCTCTCCCACTCCTGTGCCGGGTTCCTTTCTTCAGGAATGGGAACTGTGGGAGGGAAGGATGCATTCGTAATGTGGGCAGCTTTTCTGTGCATCTCCCAGAAGAGAATTTAAAGAGGAAGGTTTCTCCCCTACCCCAATCCTTGGAAGAGTGAGGCAGGATTGTCAGAGTCGAGGACAAATTGGAAGATGGAGAGAAGGGATCATGAGCCAAGAAATGCAGAAAGCTTCTAGAAGCTAGAAAAGTCAGGGGAATTGATTCTCTCTCAGAGACTCCTGAAGGAATGCCGCCCAGCTGACACCTTGAGTCTAGTCCGGTGAGACCTGTCACCTTCAGAACCGTATGAGAAATTTGTATTGTTCCGCCCCGAAATCTGGGGTTATTTGTCATAGCAACAATAGTAAAGTTGTAATACACTTGGGCTGATGGTGTTATCTACCCTTCCTGACTTCTATTCCCACCCCACCTCTCAAAAAAAACAGCAAAAAAACAGTGGGGACTGACCTTAATACCCAGCATCGGCTGTCCACATTGAGGCTCGCTCTGCCCCAGGCCTTGCGAACACTCCTAGCTAACATCTTTGATCACACTTACGTGATGTCACACACATTGGCATTGTTTATGAAAGGGAGATTATTAAACTCTTGACTCAAGTTGTTGACTATCCCTTCTTTGATGGAGAGAGAAATGAGTCATCAAACATCTCACGCTGACCCAATTGTCAAGATTGAAAAATGATCTTATGGGAAACCCTAGTAGGCAACCAACTAAAAAATGGGGTTCTGACAGTGGCAACAGGACAAAGACATTGCCTACTCATCTTACAAGGAGAAAAAGAGTATACCGAGTTCAGGGAGGGTTCAAACATTAACTATAAGCAGGGTTGCTTGGCTCAGTGGACTGAGAGGTATTGGTTCAACTCCTGGTCAGGGCCCATGTCCCGGTTGTGGGCTTGATCCCCAGTAGGGGGCGTGCAGGAGGCAGCCAATCGATGTTCTCTCTCATTGACGTTTCTATCTCTCTCTCCCTCTTCCTTCCTCTCTCTCTAAAAATCAATAAAAATAAAAAATAAAAATTACATTTTTTAAAAAAAAGGCATGCTAGAGTTTGCACATAAAAAGATTTCAAAGGAGATAAAGGTTTCATTACATTAAGATCAACAGTAAACATACAATCTTGACCCAGCCCTGCAAGCGGGTCCTGCTTTCTTGTTCAGCCCACAAAGAATGCAGCAAGCCACGTCTTGCACGACAGGCACTGCACAACCTTGTGGGGAAAGGGCAACTCACCGGCCATGCTGCTGATGTTCACCAGCCTCCCCTTGGACTTCCTCAGAAGAGGCAAGAACACCTTTGTGACTTCCACAGCCCCAAAGAAGTTCACCGCCATGCATTGTTTGTAGTGGGTCATGGGAATGAGCTCCCCATCAGTGGGTAAACCAAGGATCCCAGCATTGTTGACCACAGCCCACAGTCCTGAGAACAGAAAAGAACAGCACTGAGGTCGGGCCAGACTAGAGAGCTGGACGATTTTTAACACTTCAAGTTCTGGAGTCAAAAGGGCCCCTTTGAGATTTAGGATCTAGGTAGATCACTTATACTCTCCAACCTTAGTCTCCTAAATACCTGTAACCACCTGCCTCGAGGGGTTGTATGGCGAGTACATGTGTGAAATATCAAGCGCAATTTTTTTGGAGACATTTTCTTTTGCTTCAAAGCACTTTCCTATATCCATGCAGTTAGATAAGAGTCTCCCTCATGCTTCTCTCTCCAAGGGGTGTGCAGAGACCATGTGATCGCTTTAGGACAATGCAGGAAGACATAGAGCCCGCCTGCCCTTTTCCTTAGAGGAGGAGATCTAGTCCCAGGAAACAGGAAACCTAGAGCACATGCCAAGAGGGAAGATTACACAGACCCCGAGTTCTCTTCTTGTCCCCGACCAGCCTGATACCCTTGACAAGAATCACCGTAAGGGCTTAGTCAAACCCACTGCTGGGCTCCCCTCCGGAAAATCTGATTTGGAATGTCTGGAGCGAGGCCTGAGAATCTGCATCTCCAACAAGTTTCCAGGTGATGCAGATGCTGGTCTGGACCACACTTGGAGAACCGCGTCCACACCTGTGGTTTTCAACCTTGACTGTATATTAGGCTCACCTGGGAGGCTTTTTAAAGCCCCAGTGCCCAGGCCACATCTCAATTAGATCAAGGCTCCGGGATGGGGAGAGAGAGGACCTTGGCATTAGCAGTTTTTAAAATTTCCCAGGTTAGCCCAGCCGGTGTGGCTCAGTAGTTGAGCGTCAACCCATGCACCAGGGAGTCGCCGGTTCGGTTCCTGGTCAGGGCACATGCCCAGGGTGTGGGCCAAATCCCCAGAGGGGCAGGCAGGAGGTAACCAGTTAATGTTCTCACTCATCGATGTTTTATCTCTCTTTCCCTCTCCCTTCCTCTCTCTCTAAAATTAATAAAGAAAAAAATTTAACCCTGGCCGGTTTGGCTCAGCGGTTAGAGCGTCGGCCCGCAGACCAGAGAGACCCAGGTTCGGTTCCCGCTAAGGGCACATACCTCGGTTGCAGTTTGTCTCTGGCCCGGGTTGGGGTCATGTGGGTGGCAGCCACTCGATGGTCTCTCTCATGTCGATGTTTCTCTCTCTCTCTTCCCACCTCTCTCCCTCCCGCTCTATCTGAAGATAAATGCAAAAATGTCCTCGGGTGAGAATAAAAATAAAAAAACTATTTAAAAAAGCAAATTAATTAAATTTCCCAGGTGATTCCAATGCACAAGCTTGGGAACCACTGCCATATAAATAGCACAAACGAGGTAACAGAAAAACTCCAGCTGTGCTGGGGGTGAGGGATCTGAAGCGGAGGAGAGTGACCTGGGACCTCTTTATCGGAGAGAGAAGGACCCAGGGTGTGTTTAGCTCGACAGACTCGAAGCAGAGTCTCTGAGCTCCCTGAGCCTCAGCATGGTTTAGAACAGTGGTTCTCAAGGTGTGGTCCAGAACCAGCAGCATCCTCATCAGCTGGGAACTTGTTGGAAACGCCAATCCGGAACCACACCCTAGACCTGCTGGATCAGAAGCTGGTGATCAGAAGTTGTTGAAGCTCAGCTCTTGACACAACCTGCTCTCCGGGTGATCCTGCTGCAGCCTCAAGTCTGAGACCCCGTGTTGGGTCCAGGAGAGGAATGAGCCTCGGTGCTGGCAGGGCACAGAAATGGCAGGAGGCACCAACCTAACGGCGCCCTTCTGACAGCATCTGGGAGTCAGGTACGCGAGGGCTGGATGGAGCACTGGCATCTCCACAGGGGCCAGCATGAAGCATTGACAGTCCGAGATGGAATGTCCCATCCCCAGGAATGTAGACGCTACTACCCCAGGGAACTCAGAGGAAGCTGAAAATGACAGAAATGGGTTTTACCACATGGCAGAAAGATGGCTCAAAATAGAAGCTGAATTGAGTTGTAGGATATAAAGTTACGTCTTGCACACCCGAGTCGGTGACATTGACACACAATAATGTCGGAGCGTCCAGAGAGAGTGCCCGGCATGTAGTAAGCGCTCAGCAGCTGTGAAGATGGTGAGGGGTGACGAGGACGCCTCATTAGCATCCTCTCACTCGGTGAGGGTTTTAATTCGCTCAGCCTGATGCACACCTGGAATCAGTCAACATGTGGATGCCAGCTTGAGAATGCCCTGGAACAGGGGTTGGCAAACTTTTTCTATAAAAGGCCAGGTAGTAAATATGTCCGTGTTGCAGGTCCTACTGTCTCAACTGTGCTATTAGCATATGAGAACAGCCAGATTATATGTAAATGAATGGGCGTGGCTTGGTGCCAATACAACCTGATGTATGGACATGGACATTTAAATTTCATATATTTATGTCTCAAAAAAATTCTTCTTCTTCATTTAAAAAAAATTTTTTTTAATCCTTAGCTCACAGGCTACACAAAAACAGGTGGCAGAGCTATATAATAGTCTTTTTTTTTTTAATGTGTGTTTTTATTGATTTTAGAGAAAGAGGAAGGGAAAGGGAGGGAGAGAGAAACATTAATGTGAGAGAAACATCCATCAGTTGTCACCCATAGGCACCCCATCAGGGGACAGAACCCGAAACCTGGGTATGTGCCCTGACCAGGAATTGAACCGGTGACCTTTTGGTTCACGGGATGGCGCTCAACCAACTGAGCCACACCAGCCAGGCTGTAACAGTCTTTAAATGACAAAGTTAAAGAGACAGAAAATAGATGAGTGATTGCCACGGGTTAGGGATGAGATTACAGCTCTAAAATGGGAGCATGAAAGAGCCTGGTGTTGATGGAACAGTTGTGTATCTTGATTGTGGTGATTTTAACACAAAGCTACACGTTATAAAATTGCAGAGCTATACACACACACACACACACGCATGCAAGTATACCTAATGAAATCTGAATAAGCTCTGTGGATTATATTAATGCCAACTTCCTAATTTTGCTATTGTACCATAGTTATGCAAGATGTTAACATTGGGAGAGGCTTTGCAAAAGGCACTTAATATCCCCCTGTACTTTTTTTTTTTTTTTTTGCAACTTCTTATGAATTTACAGTTATTTCAAAATAAAATGTTAAAAAAACAAAAAACAAACCTAGACCATAGTTTGCCTACTCCTGCCAGAGAATTCTAAGCTGGCCCATTACACTTATAGGGCTTTAAGATCATTAATGTGAGTTAATAATTAACAATATGTTAACACTCATTTAATAACATGCTGTGTAGGAACACAGCACAGTTGCTGGCTCTCTTCCAGGAGCAGGGGCTTTGTGGTTTATCTACAGCCCCCAGAGGGTTCTTTAGCAAGCATCCTTCGTGGTGATTTATACTCCCGTTTCATGCTCCACATTCTCTTTGAGTTGAGAGGCTGAAGCTGAGAGAGACCTCAAGGAGAGCAGGCAAAGGCGTATTGGTGATTCTGTCTCCGAAGAGGGTTGCTCATGAGCTCACGCCTTGTCAAGCGTACTGACCACATCCCTGGACACTGGCGTGGTATTTCCCCTGCTTGACTGTTCAGTGTGTTCAGTGTTGCCCCTCTGGGCCTCACTAGATGGATCTGTAGTGAGTATCTCCTTGACTAAGACACTATGAAATCGAACTCAGGAGAGGAACAAGCTCAACCTGGTAAGACAGCAAAAGACCAGGCCAGGAAAACTACCTTTCTAGAAAATGATCGCACATTACTAAACTTGCTGAAAATTGATTCCTGATAACCAACAATCTATTTTTCTCCCATCCTCTTATTTCTTAGATGTTTACTGAATATTTACTAGATGCCTGGGACTGAGCTTAACGCTGAATGACTGGAAAATAAGAGCCCTAACTGAATGCTTGCCTCATGCCCGGGACTCTTATAAGCGCTCTGTGTATAATAACCACTCCTTCAAATATCAAATGAGGCAGATAACATTACTCTCTTTTTGCTGTAAAGAGGATGTAAGCAGGAAGTGTCTGAGGCATCCATGGATAGCCCCATAATAAAACCAACACGGGAGAACACAGAGCTGAGGAATAGACTGGGTCCTGATGGCACTGTGTACGTGCCTGGATCCAGATGGACCTGAAGCCAGTGGGTGTTCTCAGTCACATCAGCAGATACATTTCCTTTATGCCTTAGCAATTTTGAATAGGGTTGTGTCACTTGCATCTGAAGGAATCCTGATAGAAACATGTTTCTGGTTCTCAAGGAACCTAGTGGTGAGGAGTGGTAGATGGACAGATATTTATAATCATGCAGTGATATGGGTGTTGGCAAAGTGTAAGGAGTGAGTGCCCAGAGAGGAAGTGAATGGTGTAACCTGGATTATCAGGAAGGTCACACAAGCGATGTTATGTTTGAGCCAGGTCTTCTGTGGGAGTAGAGTCAGCAGCTGGATGAAGGTAAGAGTCTTAGACAAAGGAAGTGGAGCCCAGCCAGTGTGGCTCAGTGGTTGAGGGTTGACACATGCACCAAGAGGTTGCCAGTTTGATTCCCGGTCAGGACACATGCCCAGGGTGTGGGCCCGATCCCCAGTGGGGGCGTGCAGGAGGCAGCCAATCGATGTTCTCTCTCATCAATGTTTCTCTCTCTCTCTCATGTCTGCTCTCTCTAAAATCAATAAAGAAGAAAGCGAGAGAGAGAAAGGAAGTGGAGGCCAGAAGGAAATGTTGGCAAGAGGAAGATAGGCAAAGATACAAACTTTTAGCTCTAACTTCCATATTACTGGCCCAAGCCTCTTAAATCTTTTACTTTCATATTGATGCCCCAAGCCTCTCATTCCAGGAAACCAAAACCCATCACTCCAGTCAGGCAGAACGGAATGATGGAACCACCCTAACCCACCCAACACTACAAACGGTCGCTCGACAAGAAAAACAAGTTTCAGCCCTGGCCTGTTTGGCTCAGCGGTTAGAGCATCAGCCTGCGGTACAGAGAGACCCGGGTTCGGTTCCCGCTAAGGGCATGTACCTCGGTTGCAGTTTGTCCCCGGCCCTGGTTGGTCATGCGGGTGGCAGCCACTCGATGTGTCCCTTTCACGTCGATGTTTCTCTCTCTCTCTCTTCCTCTCTCTCCCTCCCACTCTATCTGTGCAAAAAATGGGAAAAAAATGTCCTAGGGTGAGGATAAAAAAAAAAAAAAAAGAAAAGAAAAACAAGTTTCAGGAGACCCCAGCCCCAACCAATCAAGAACTCGGGAGACCCCAGCCCTGACCAATCAAGGATGACCACGACTCCTCGGCTGAACGACCACCCACCCCAGCCCTAAGTTTAAATATCCTTAGTGTGGACGAGCCGGTTGCTATCTTCTCCTTAGAGGCAGCCCGGCAGGTCTTTCCCTCAATAAACCTGCACTGTTCTGGTTACTCAGCACCGCCTCGTTCTTACAACTAGCACATTCTATTCTGGAAACCACCCAGAGTTGACCGAGTGGACCAGCAGGTATTGCAGATTAAGAGCTTCACAGGGGCCACCGTCCTGAAAGGCCTTCAAATCCTTGTTGAGGTGCTTTTATTTGGTGGTGGATCGAGAACCGCTGAACTGTTGAATGAGACAAAACAAAACACCTCCCACAGAGCTGGCTCATGGGAGGAGCCCAAGGCATGAAGGCTCTGTATGTCAAGAGGTTCTTAGGGAATAGATGACCTTGTAAAACGTGCACATTATAAAGAATACTCTCTGTTTGGAAAGAAATGGGGAAGGTAAAGCCCAGATGCAAGGAGGTCATTGTGGGAGCCCAGGTGGGAGCTGAGGGCCAGCGCTAAGCCATAGCTGCCTGCAGATGGCAGGAAGGGGCTGGGATGATGAAGATCTAGGAGGTGGAACTGACAGGGCTCCAGACCAATAGGATGCAGGGATCAAGGGCAGCTGCGGGTTTAAGTGACCTCAGTGCCAGCACCTGAGCTGTAGGGTGCAGGAGAGTCAACTGATTTGCAGACTGGCAGCAGAGGTCGGTTTTTGACAAATCGAGTTGGCCTGATAGACAATTTTATATACATATAGTTCTGGACATTGAGAAGAAGGCTAGGTTGGTAATATAGATTTGGATGTTACTTAAATCATAGTTGCTTAAATCTCGATGTTCCTCAGCACTGGCAGAACATTAGCATTACCTGGGGAGCTTTAAAATATACTGATACCTGGGACCCCTCCCCCCCAGGAGGATCTTCTTTAGAGCTGACATTCCCAGCAAAAGGACAGCAACATTAGCAGCTCACTGCTGAAGGATTAGCTGAGTTATTGTAGGTAGAGACTGATGTCGTTGGTTGGGGAAGGGGTGCCCGGGCTGGGCGGGTATCACGAGTGAGACCTGTGCAGTCACACAGGGTCTGGTGCTTCAGAAGGTCTCATGCTTGGATGAATTCTCTGCTGGCACCATCTCAAAGTCTTAATTGTTTCTTAAACTAAAGGGGCCTTGCCTGGCTGGTGTGACTCTGGTTGAGCGTCGACCCGTGCACCAAGAGGTCACCAGTTCGATTCCCAGTCAGGGCACATGCCCAGGTTGTGGGCCCGATCCCCAGTGAGGGGCATGCAGGAGGCGGCCAGTCAATGTTCTCCCTCATCGATGTTTCCATCTCTCTCTCCCTCTCCCTTCCTCTCTCTCTAAAATCAATAAAGAAAAAATAAATAAACTTAAGGGGCCTCACATAATTTTCATTTTGCACTGTGTCCCCCAAAGTATGTAACCCATCCTGGGCCCAGACTTGGATATTTTCAAACACTCCCCAGCAGTGAATTTCTAGTATAGGGAAAGAGAACAGTATAACCCAAAAAAACGTGAGTAGGAAGTTCGCAGATGGAGCCCTCAGTAACATTCACATTTATGGGTGGGGGTAGAGGGTGGAAGAAGAGGTTCAGCTAGGAGAAGCAGAAAAAATGATCAATGAACTAGGAGGGCAATAGGGGGCTGGTGACCCCAAAGCCAAGGCAGGGGAAGGTGATTGCCCCATTCAAACACTGCAGAGAAGTTAAGAGCTCGGTGTCTAGGATAATATTGATGAGCTTGGCCAGACCAGTGACAGCCGGTGTCGGATGGAAGGTGATGAAGTAAAAACAGGGCAGCAGAATTCCAAAGAGCTTGGCCATGAAGGAAGGGCAAGAGAAAGGGCAGTGGCTGAGGAAGGACACAGCTTTTCTTTTCTTTTTCTTTTTTTAAGTCTAATACATGTTAATATTGGAGGAAAGAAATGAGGAAGGGGTGGGAGGTGGTGATTAATGAGAAAGTGAGCAGATGTTGGAGGGAACCGGATAAAGAATTCTGTAAGTGCTGTGAAGACAGACCATGCCTGACTCATTTCTAACGTCCTCCTGTCTACAAGAGCCCGGGCATGTGGCAGGTGCTCTGTACAGGTGTCTTCAGATGTGGGCAGCAGCCAGAATGGACTAGAGAGCCGCAGTAATTAGAGGCTGCAACCCGTGTTGGGCATTTGCAAGGAGGTGGAGGGCAATGCAGGGCATAAAGGCAGTACCTCTGTTCTGCACCTTCTGCACCACTTTGCTGTAGGCATCTTTGATCTGCTGCGAGTTGGTAACATCCAGCTGGAGCACGGAGAAGCGCTTGGAGCAGGTTCTTCGCAATTCCTCTGCTCCTGCTCCATTTTCATCCAGAACCCCAGCAATCACGGTGAAACCCAGCTGGTCCAAATACTTGGACAAAGCATGACCAATCCCGGAATCGCCACCTGCAGGGGGTCAAGGCAAGACAACGTGGCTCCAAAACGAGGGGACAGGAGAAAGTATTTACTAAGGAAACACCACTTGCTATTTATGACGGTCCATGTTCTCTGGACAGAGTGGGTCTTCAGGAAGGTTCTCTATTTGCCAAATGGGAAATGGACAGAGAAGCCAGAACAGAAAAATGTTTCTATATATAAAAAGGGAAATGAGGGAGAATCGGGGGTAGGAGAAATGCTGATGGGGGGATGGCCAGGAGTTACTGGTGGCAGAAGAATTTAGGAGGAAATAAAACCTCTCTTTACTAAATTTGGGTTTGTTTTTTTATTTGAAAGTGAATTAATAAAGCCAAAGTTCACAGGAGGCCATCTGCTCCATCTGCTTGTACTTACCTGTGAGGAAGGGTAGCATAGAGTCTGCCCCGCCCCATCCCTACCGGTGCAGCCTCAGGTTATTTTACCTCTCTGTGCCTCAACTTCCTCATCTGGAAAATGGGCTTAATATTGATACCTACATCAGTTACTATTTGTGACGTGCTTAACAGTGCCTGTTCCACGTCATTACCATATAGGTCTTTTCTTTTCTTTTTCCTTTTTTTAAACAAAACTATGCCACCCTTCCTAATCTTCAGGCCTTTTGCATGCACAATATTGGCAGATGGGGAATGTGCCTCTACCACCACTTAGCTAAACATCTGGCTTAAGACTCAGACTGCCTAATTCTGCCTCTTCCATGTGTGAGCCTTGGGAACTGTTATATGTAGTCGTGTAGAACCTCCACCTCCTCACCTAGGAAATGGGTTAGACGAGTATTTCCCTTCTAGGCTGAGCTGGAAAGTCAACAAGACAAAGAACACTGCACGAGGTCCCACATGTCATGTGCAGCTGTTATCAGTATTGGGGCTCGAACCCAGACATGATTTCTGATTTACAGTGTTAGAGAAAAGGCCGTGCTAGCCCTGGTATTTTATGGCTGGGAGTCCATACAGGAGTCAGAGGGCCCTGGGGAGCCACTCCCGGCCCAGGTAGGGTAACCCTCGTGCTCTCCAGAAACCCAGAGACAAGGCTGGGCCTTCATGAAAAGTCAAAGTGTTTCATCAGAGTTACCCACTATGTAGTAGCCTCTGAAAATACTCATACCTAGTGCAAACTGAATGCTCACCCACTTCCATCCAGCCTCACAGATATTAGCTCATCGCACCTTCCACAGCACCCTGGGAGGAGGAAACTGAGACACGGGAGGATGAAATCATTCAGCTGGGACATGGCAGAGGTTGGAACCCAGGCAGAGCTTGGGATATAAACATCTCGGGCATGGAACACTCACTTCTTCCTGAGCACAGGGCTTAGCATAGTAGGTGGTCAATAAAAAGTATGTGTTGACTAACTGGGCATTTAAGACGGCACTGGAGGGGTGGGGGTGGGGGTAAACCACAGAACTTATATGCATGTGTGCATGAACAATGGACATGGACAACAAAGCTGGGGACAGGGCGGGGAGGGAGGGGGAGGGGGGAATCAGTCGGGGGGGAAAGGAGAAACATCTGTAACAAAAATAAATTAATTAACTTAAAAAGAGTAAGAGGGCACTGGAATGTGAATTTCTTAAGAACAGAGAGAGTCCTAGTTCACTGGTGGTGAAGGTGCCTGACTCAAAGTAAGTGCTCAACAAACTGTTGAGTTGGATGCTTATCCCAATCAGGGAAATGCTGGGGTTGATCCCTTTGAGATAATCCTGTCTCTGGTGGCCTGGAAGTCCATCCACTTGGAGCAAGCAGTGAGGACTAGAGTCCCGTTCATGCAAGATTACAGTGCATTTGAAATAGTGATGCATTCAAAAGTATTAATAAAGTCTCCAAATAGGTGCGAAATGGAAACAACATAAATCACTTAAATTCACATGACTTAGAAACGGTCTAGTTTCAAAGCTCATGGGTAAGTTGTAAGTGGATTTATGCTGTTGCCACATGGGGGTGCCATTTTAGCTGGTCAACCAAAGTATGTCCCATCATTTGTCGGGTCAAATCTTGAATTAGGTAAGTGGTGAATAACTGGAGCTCTAGAGTGCTTTGGGGTGGGGTCCCTTGAACGAAACACACCCACCCTGTACGTATAAGATTGCATGTGTAACCTTGGACACAAGCTGGAAGCAACATTCAGAAAGAGGAATGAAGGGGAAAACATTTACAAGTCTATAAATGGTCAAGTCATTATTATTTTTTTTTTTATGGCCCACACAGTATATTTTGTAAACATTTAAATACTTTGAATGGGGTGATTTCACCTGAAAATCCAGGTCAATTATTTTTCTTGAATAACCGGGAGATGGACCAACTCTGGGCCTCCATTCGTAGGAACCCATGGGTTGAAGCTGAGGATCCCAATGGCTGCCCCTTACATGGGCCATTCTCTGATTTAGAACAAAACTCATTACTCTTCTGTGGGAACCACATTTCCGCTGCCAGAATTCCTCACCAACGTGACCCGCCAACACCCTTGTAGACTTTGAGCTCAAGACATTTGACATACTGTGCCTTTGCATTATGGCTTCTGGGTCAAAAGGTTTTTATCTGGAAATCTCTGGAAAACTAAGGAGAAAAGAGCTTTCTACTCCCTTGTTTAAGACTTAAGCAATCCATCAGATTGGCACTCGTGTTGACAACTGCCTAGTTTCTATAAAATAGATTAAGGTCTGATAAAATGGTAGGTAAATACAATGAAACTCTAATGCACTTAAGACTTCTCCGAGGGCCATACAAGGCTCAGCTCCTAATTCAGGAGGAGCAAATCCTTGACAATTGCACCGCCAACACCCCAACTCCTTTGCCCGTGGCAACCCAAAATGATAGGAACTATTGGGTAGTGAGGCTCTGGGAAATAGCTGGATCTTTTCATGTCAATTTTTTAATGGAAATAAATACATTTTTCCTAGAACATAACGTTTATGAATAATTCTCCCATACTATGGTTATTCCTAAATTAAGATAGGCAACTGAGATGCTGAGATACTAAATACGTGTTCAAGATTACACAGCTGCGCCCTGGCCCATTTGGCTCAGCAGTTAGAGAGTTGGTCTGCGGTTCAGAGAGACCTGGGTTTGGTTCCCGCTAAGGGCACGTACCTCAGTTGCAGTTTGTCCCCGGCTCTGGTTGAGTTGTGTGGGTGGCAACCACTCGATGTGTCCCTTTCACATTGATGTTTCTCTTCCTCTCTCTCCCTCCCACTCTATCTGAACAAAAAATGGAAAAATGTCCTCAGGTGAGGATTAAAAAAAAAAAAAGATTACACAGCTGGACTGTGCTAGGATCGGCTTTCAAAACCAGATTTACTCTTTCTAAAGCATGTTTTTTCACTGTCATGACTCACTGTCTCCTCAAGCACCTGGGCAGGGCAAAAGGTCAATACACCAGGTGGGGACACCAATAATGAGAGCTGTCTACCAAAGAGAGGTTCCCATCACTGGTGCCAGCTCCCTTCACAGAAGATGGACTCCCATCACCCATGAAACAGTGCAAAGTACTTACAGCGGCTCTTCCAGAAGGGAAAATGCAATGGATTTGTTCTCGCTGGTGAACGAGGAAACAACTCCTAGCCTTGCTGCAAAATAAGCAACCAATCAAAGCAGCCCTGCTGGGTTTCAACAATGGCTGGATTCCCAGACCACAGCGCAGTCCTGATGGCTCTCCTGAACTCCATCTGCTACCACCCCACACTCAAGCACGATTCATCACCAATCGCCTCCAATTGCTTCACCCTCTGGAATTCCTTAATCTCCTAAATGGCATCCCTCCTTCCAGTTACCCAAGACTAACGCCTTCTCTCCTAATCCCCACCTCCGTTCAGTACCCACACTTTCCATCGCAAGATTTCGACATCTATAGCTCCATGTCTCCTTTTCTGAATCTCATGGCATAGAAAGCCCGCTCAACTCAGCTCAGCCTGCCGTCAGATCGCCACCAAGTTGGGTAGATACATTCTCAGGCGCAGCAGAAAATGGCATCACAACTATCCAAATTTTCATATTACATCTGTTGAGCATATTCCAGTTCAGAAGCACTGGAAACAACTCCCGGTACTAACATCCCCAAATTGGTGCTGATGGGGATGATGGGCGGTCACCTGAGATGGCCACAATTTCACAAACCTCAGCCACGACCAGAGGCCATTAGAAAGAGATGGGTTAAGCATCCAGACAAGGGTGGGAAAACTCCCTTTTTGCAGAGCTTGAGAGACTCAACCAAGACTTCCCAGCCCCATTTCTTCTATGGGTGTCTTTGCAGAGACTCCGGGAATACTTTTTAAAAAAAATCTATTAAATGCCCACCCCCTCAAAAAGAAAGAAAATGGTAAGAGTCTATTCAATAATTGGTGTCTATGACCATAAGAAAAGGGGGTGTTCTGGCTTTTCCTCGAGCTACTTTTAACTTCTGACATTTCTTCCTGCCTCTCTTCACATTCATTCATTCATTCATTCATTCACTCATTCATTCATTCAGGGATCACTGTGTCCTAGAAACACCACCAAAAAAAAAAAAAAAAAGACACCCCCCCTGCCTTCGTGGGGCTTACTGCTTGGAACAGAGGTTTTCAATCCTGAGTTCCACTAGAATCCCTGAGACGCTCAGAAAAATGCCCCACCCTGCCCTCAGAGGGTCTTGTTTGGTTGATCTGGATGGAGCCTGGTACTGACAATTGTTTCTAAAGCTCTCCAGGTGATTCCAATGTGCCGTCAGGGTTGAGAAACACTGATCTAAGACAGGGATCTCTACCTGGGTGACTTTGCCCCTGGGATACTTGGCAATATTTGGAGATATTTTTGGCTATCACAACTCTGAGAGTGTTATTGGCATCCAGGGTGTAGATGCCAGGGATGTTGCCAAACACCCTACAGTGCCCAGGGCAGCCCCCACTACAAAGAATTATCCAGCCCCAAATAGCAATAGTGCTGAGGTTGAAGAACCCTGGTCTAGGGGAAAGATAGACATTTGAAAATCATTATCATAATGAG